ACTCCACAAGAAGACTAGAACTATGCTCTAGTAGCAGAATCTGGCAAGCCTGACTGTTTTCCCTCCTCTTCCTCTTCTATCCCACTGAGTCAGGGGGGAGCCAGCCTGAGCCTCTTCCTAATACTATCTCCTTTCCCAGGGCTTAAGGAAGGCTTCTGCCCTTCCTGTTTCTGTAATGGCTTCTGAGTAGTTTCCCCAAGACCAACTCCATGGTTCCCTACAGGGAGTCAGGAAAAAAAGGTGTGTGCATTGCATTAAATTGGATTAAAATTAAATACAGTACAGATACTGCAAACTATAACTGAGTAATCGGATTGCAGCACCTGACTGATTTTGTCTGGCTCAGAGGCTAAGAAGAGTCGGGCCAGGTGGGTCCTTGGATGGGGGACCTCCTCACCAGGATTCTCAGAGCCAGGGGATCAGCTGGTCTACACTGTCATCAATGTGACTCAAAGGAGACCTCATTTTTAACAAATTTTGGAAATTTCTGGAGCCCACATGCAATCCAGGGCCTCAGGCTGCACCTCCTTGACCTAGAAGGTCTCCATATATGGGGCAGCTGGGGCAACCTGCAGGGTTGGTGATCCGTTCTTACCATCAACAAACAGATGGTCAACACCAACTTAAACTGAAATAACACACACCATGAACATATCTGTGGCATTTAGGAGGTGCATCTTTTTCCTTCAACTTCCAAGGAAAAGTGAGTTTTTTGGGAAACCCCTCTGTTTAGATAACTGATAATCCTTTGCATCTAGACATCTTCCGCTGTTTTTAAAATGGGATCACTCTAAATTAGAATGATCAAAGCCCAGAATCAAAGGGAAAAGGAGTAATTAGTTGTTTACCCTACAGTATAGTATAGCATCTAGTATAATATAAACAAGATGAAAATTGGGGGCATGAGTTTATCTTCTTATGGATAGCAGAGAAAGCCAAGGAAAGAAATAAGAATGCCATAGAAAGATATAAGCTGGCCTTCTGCCAGAGGGATCAGGATGCTCCCATGGAGGCCAAGTAGCAGGTTCCTTGTCCTCAAGAGGTCCTTCCCTTGCTGTTTTCCTGCTGATGCCCAGAAGGATTGTGGACTTAAACCATCTCCCAGTTTTGGAGAGCTCAGGCCATTAACACTGATTCAGGCAGCTGCCAGGTGAAATCAACGCCTGCCAGCATAAACTACCTGAAGAGAACTTTTTCTAAACTGATGGAGGATCATTAGTGTGGATTTGCCCTGAAAACAGCACGAAGTCCCATGTGTAGAACATGTAGTCAAGGAAGTCTGCCAGGGGTTTCCACAGGAGACGATTTGCAGCATCTGCCAAACTGGCTTCGCTGTGGCACAGACGACACCACAGAATGCCACACCTCCTTGCCTTCTTCTGGCCAAAAAGCTGCCCACACAAAGGAAGGAAAGGATGTGCCATCAAAAGACACACGTTTCTGACAGTTCCACACAAAAAGGGGTTATTATGTCCAAACAAAATAAAAACTTGAATTATATTTGTAACAAGACCCTCCGCTGCTGAAACATAACATTAAAATTCCCTCTGCAGTAATTTTCATCTGAAAAGTATCTCAGGAATCTGTTTTTAAACATATTCAGAATTTTAATTCTGTAAAAAATAGAATGAAAAGAAACGGGCAGGTATTTTTTAGCACGGACCGCAGAACGGACCCAGCTCATGCTGCGCTGCCTCTCCCTCGCTCACAGGGCCAGAGAAGCTCAAGCGGCTGTTCGTGCTCCCTTGGGAGGAACATCCACAGTCACCCCACAGATCAAAGCCTCCCTCCTCAACAATGCGCCGAGGTGGATGCAAGGCCATCGTGTGATGGAATGGAATTATGAAGGCCGGGCTCAGGGAGATAAACATTTTCTTAGCTTGCCGGAGGAGCGTGGGAGTTACAAGAGGATGAGACTGGCACCTCCCTGAGGAATTCACAATGTTGTGGCTGGAGGACTTTGGGAACTGGGGTTTG